TGGGGTTGCTGCCGCCACCGCCACAGACAAAGACGCTTCGCGTAGCCTCAACGAACTCTTGGTGCAAGCGCTGTTAGCGAGTAGCACCTATGAAGGCCGCCATGGCACACGAGGGGGTGAGTGGCCAGCACCACAGCCCGTCCGCCTTCGTCTCCCGAGTGGCGATGCTTACACGCCGAACTCCAGGTCCTCATCTGAGGACGAGTCGACCTCGGGAGGTCCCAAGACCGCTTCAAGATCTTCGCCGCCGTTAATGGTCCTGAAGTTGGAGTCGGACTCGGGTGGCCGGGTTCGTAGCGCAGCGCACTAACCACTACGCCACCGTCCCCCCCCTCCCCCTGAACTCTGCTGCCAAGAAATTGGATTATCCGGTAGATTCGGCTTTAGCTCGAACAAACTGCACGGTAACAAACGCTCCCTTGAGCGGGGGATCTAGAGAGTCAACAGTTGAGCAAACGAACAAACATGACACACTTTGTTCCATCCAGAATCATCCCACCAACCCCCCCCCCCCCCACCACCACCAATACGCCCGCCACCACCCCCGTTACCCTCCACGCTCCCGCACTCCGTTATTGCGACATCGTCTGAAATGGGATTACCGTAAGCTTGTCTCCCTCCTATCTCATGACAGCGAGGGGGTGTGTGGGGGGGATGTGTGGGGGGGTGGGGGGGGGGGGGCTTGAGCCAAAACTCGAGCGAGGCAAAAGGAGCCAGACTTGGGGCCGTATCTCCGGATCCAACCTCTTCTATGGGGTGCCTCTTGAGAGCTCTACCAGTGCGAGACTCCAGATTGAGTCTCACTGCTCGTCTGAAGCAGGCGACGGATGGAGGGGGGAGGTGGGGCTGGGTTGCAATGCAGGTCCTGGATTGAGGATTAATAAGGCGTGGGGGGGGGGGGGTCTGCAACTGGGTGGAACCGGGGGGGGGAGAGAGACGAGGTTAAGGAAGAGGCAGTCGGGGGACACAGAGTGGATTTGGGCAGAGGAGATCACTGCACGTGGAGCGTGAATGTACACACGGGGTCGCACGCGCGGACGGGCGCGCGTGGGTCTCTAACGCAGCGCAGTGGCGTGTCGAGGCTGTTGTAACCCCCAGTGCAAGGGATTACACCCCACACCCGCCCCACACACACGCACACACAACACGCAAAGTCTGTCTCGGTGTCTTTGCCCCACCGCCCGCTACCACTGCCCCCACTCTGTGTAAGCCCTGTGTCCGGGCCCCTGCGGAACGAGGTGGCTACGACACCGAGGGCCACGTGAAGGTCTCACGCATGGGGTCGGTTACCCCGCATTGACAAGAAGGGCCGTTTTTAGACTTAAAAACAACAACAAACGCACACACACACACGCGCACTCAATATTTCAAGAGGACGCAACAACTGCACGCGGTGAACGCGAGACGGTGGGTCCTCCTTAATAAAGAACGCCACGAAGCAGTCCTTGAAGAGCCCAATGCGGCTCTTTAAGGACTACTTCGTGGGCCATGTCGCAGTCTCGCGATGACCTTATGCTGTTGCAAGCCAGACAAGCGGTGGATATGTCTCTGCGCGCAATATATCCACTGTCTCTGCACGTAAAACACGAGGAATTGACGGGAGAACGGCGCTCGGCCGATCGCTGTGTGCTGTTTATTGTTTACTCTTTCGAAGTGTCATCGCCGGCTCTTTAGCAGCCAGTTTACTAACACCTCCCAGACATCGCTGCGCGTGCCTGCTGCGGGGATTGAAGTCTTAAATGCAATGCAAACTGGCCAAAGTGGGGGGGGGGGGGAGCTTGACACCGCAGCTTCAAATTCCTGCACGCTGACACTCGTCCCTCCGCCGCGTCTCCGCAGGCTTGCCGCATTGCTCCGCGTCTGTCTCTCCCCGTGCATATTTAATCGCCTTTCATTTGCTGGTACGGCGACAGACACTCTATGGACGTGACGCCGCGTCGTTCAACTTGCGTTCAAATGTTCACCGGGAACCCCCTTGTTGCACACGCGTCGTGTAGCGTTGCGCCGGAGTTTATGTCCGTGCAACAGCACCGCTCCAGACGTGCCGGCTGCGTTTGGAAATCCTGCACAGGCTACATCGAGTGTGCAGGCGGTGCAGCTGCGCGGGGTACAACGAACGGGCCGGAGGGGGGGGGGCACGGGTGCCGCACTGGTTGAACGCGCTGCGCTGTGAACCCCAGTGGCATGAGTTTGATCCCAGGTCGCGGCGAGCGATCCTGGTGACCCGCGAGGCTCTTCACCAACCTGCAGAGGCCAGCGTTGTGAAGTATGCTCAAACATCTTCTTGGTTCTTTCGGTAAAGTCACGTAGACAGACCTGGTCTTCACCTGAGGACGGCTGCATGCGTTGTGGCCGAAACGTCGTGAGAATCATTTTATTATATTTTACTTTTATTATTTTATTATTTCCCTTCTACGTGACTTTACCGAAAGAACCAAGAAGATGAATCCCTGCAGTCACGAAAGCTTTAAATCGAAATATGCTCAAACACACACACACGCATGTGACCGAGACGGCATGCGGAGGCATTCATGCAGCAGTTGATTGAAAAAAAGGGCTGTAGATGTATCTGAATCAAAATCAGAATGTGTATTTATACTGGAGGAATCCGATGAGCTATAAAGCTTTTTTCACAGATGTCCAGTATTGTACATGTATCTCTGATGTCTTTTCGTCATGTACCGCGTGTTTTTTATTCCCGACACGATGTCCGACGTTTCGCTCCACGAGCTGGGAGCGTCTTGCGGAACTGACTTAAATTCACTTGCTGAGATATCCAATTCGCTTCCAAAAGCCTCCGCGGTGTCCGAAACGTCGGACAACACGCGGTCCCAACCCACACCCTACCCCCTACGTCCGTAAACAAAATATTAGAGATACACAAGCAGAACGGCCGCCACAACCCCTGGGCAGTACAATCTTCTCACCAGGCTACCGTCCCTCGGCGTCGTCGTGAACACGCATTGGCTTCGACCCTCGACACAACGACGCGTCTCCCTGCGCGAGGCTGTTGCTGGCTCAACGTCAGCCTGCGCGGGCGAAGGCAGCTCACAGAGCGCCGGGATTAGTGCGCCCGGATAGACGCGAGTCTGGGATTCTGAGACAAAGGAATGAGTCGCGCCGGATTACTCCGATAACACCGATCGGGCCGCTGATAATGATGAGAATGGAGCCGGTTAGAAAGCAAAAAAAAAGGAATAGCGGGGAAGCACCGTCTCCGTGCCGAGTCTTGGAGCGTACTTTTAAAAATAAATAAGTTATTGATCCCACAGGGGGCCAGTCAACGTGGCGGGTTTGTTTGTGCCCGGGCCACCACATTAGGCGCATTCGTAACGAGGAGGGCTTTTGAAGAGGACATCAACATCGCATGACGGTTTACTTTGCTCCGCGTGGAAGATTATAGACAGTCATTTATTTACTCAAGTCTCGAGAGTATCAGAGAGGTTTAATTTGGCTTTTCTCCTTCTCCTCCTCCTCCTTCTTCTCGGTGGCTTTGCCGCGAGAGAAGATTAGAGATGCGAAAAGGTCAAAAGGGCAGCCACAGAGAGCCACTGCTCCGTGATTGCCAAGTGACAGGTGCCAGGGCTTTGCTAATGCGTTGTGCTCATGCGTGCGAAGCGAGTGAGCGATGCCAAGCGACGCGTGGTTCGCTGTGCTACCTGGCTATGGTAGCGAGCGTCAGAGTAGTAATAATAATAATGATGATGTGTGTTCACGCGTGTGTACGTTGAACTTCTTTCGCATCGCACGCGGCCGACCGTCCTGATCGCAGGTGCGGGGAAAGAAAAACAAGCTGGACACAAAAACGCAGTTCTAAAGCAATGCGTTTTCGATCTGGATGACTTAAAAGTAAATAGCTCCAGCGGCTTCCTAATATCGGGGGGAAGAACGTTCCAGACGGCCGCAGAAGAACGTGATGATAACAACATTTTATATTTATATAAGGCGCCCTTAAGCAATGAGCGTCACGAATATAGAGGAGGAAGTGACGAAGGAGACGAGATGCGGAAAGAGAGAGAGAGATAATTATTTGTTACGATAGGCGAAGTCTTCGTAGGTCCGGATCGAGTACTCGTTATGGTCGCACTCTCATGGGTCCATCACAAGTGCCCTCATCGACATTCAGCAACGTTCACTCATTGTGACATTTGTAACGAGCACACGGTGAGCTTCCAAGGGGCATTCAGAGGCGCGGGGGAAATACATTGAAGAGCGAGAGAGAGAGAAGTTTTCAGTTTATGTCAATAAGTTGACACTGACGCCGCTGTGCTTTATAGCTCATCGGATTTCTCCGGTATGAATATTCTGGTAGCGAGGGAGTGACTCGCCACACGAGCGGAGCTCAAGACAGAATAAACTGCGTTGACGATTCAACACAAATGCGAGTATTGCCCTCTACGCGTTGCAGAATGAGAATATTTATCTTGGGAGAATCCGATAAGCTGTGGAGCTCTTTTTCTCCAGATGTCCAATACTATCATCGTTGAAGTGTTTGTCTGTGACTCGATAGACACCAATATCCGAACTATTCATGTGCCATTTAAAAACAAACTGTTAATTTGGAACCATTTTCTTTACTATTTAATTCGCAACATGCACTACGGTGCGAGGTGCAGTCTTCAACAATCATTATTATGATGATCCACTGCCTCTCTGTCCCCTTTATTGGTGTGCTACCAACAAATGGTCATTGTCACAAATGTAGCCTATTACATTTAGTTTTCTTTTAAGGCCACAGTGTCGTTAGAACGCATTGAGTTCCCGTTGTTGTTGTTGTGGTTGTCTGTTTGTGCACCACTGCCAATGCAGCAGCAACAGCAGCGTCACCAATGAACTCGCAAGAGTGCCCTTACGGAGTTGTTGACCACGCACTCAATCGCGATTCAACCTCGCAGGGCCATCCGACACACGCATTGCGGTCGCAACAGATTTGAGAATTGATCCAAACAAAAAAAATAGAAAAAAACTTCACATTTTATTTTCGTTTAACCTCTTCCCAGATGTGTCAACCGGCGTGCAGGGGGAGGAGGAAGTCACAAGTCACCCTCTCGCGGAAGACCCTTGCGTCACGAGTCGGGTTGTTTGGCGTCTGCTTCGAGCGTCAGGTGCCGTGCCATTGTCGGCGACGGGTGATCGTTTCGAGGTCCCGACCTGGCCGCTCGCTGCCTTCGCCGTGTCCCCAACAACAACCACCACCACCGCCACCACCACCACCACCAACCACACCCGTGTCGCATGGCAAGCAGGTGCGTTGCCGTCGGTAGCGACGGCACACATTCAACAACAAGATCCAGCGTGACTTACAATGCCCAGGTAAAGACGGGGGTGGGGGTGGAGTAGGAGGAGGAGGAGGAAAAAGGGGGGGGGGGTGAAAAAAGCGAGATGAGTGTGACTTTTCAACCCGGTCGCACACAATGGCACCCTAAACCCTGCCGCCAAATACAATAAAATCTTCTCAGGAAATTAAAAGCGAGGGTGGGAGGAGGTGGAGGATGGGGGTGGGGGGGGGAATCAACAACTCGGAGAACGCGTGGCACGCGACTGCCGCAGGGCTACGTGCAGAGCTAAATGCACTCATTACCCCCCTCCACCACTACCCCCAAACTCGCGGCCGAGCGGGCGGGCGGTCGGTCGGGCGGGCGTGCGAGTGGGGCTTATTGTTACAATTACCCCGGGGCTTGTAGCGTCTCCGGCTACGTAGAACGTCACTCCCACGCGCGCGCGCTCGCCCGCCTATTATTGAAAAAGGAAGCTCTCGGCATTGCCGTGAGCGGTGCGCGTTGGATGTTCGTCCTTCTTGGGGTGGGGGGGGGGGGTGGAAGAGAGATAGAAAGGCAGGTGATGGATGCCCTTTGTTGTGACCGGCTGGAATTGGGACAGGCACGGGCTCAGTGTCAATTATTGTTTCCACTTGAAGAGATAAATCCGCTCAAGCGTCAAACGACCGGGCCCCGCTCGAGATTTCTGTCCCCTTTCAACTCTATGATTTTATATATATATTTATTTTTGTCGTGAGCGAATTCACGGAAAGACACATATGTACGTTTAAAAATGTGAATATATATGACGAGGTCATTCATATAAGCCTGTGACCATCTTTACCCAGATTCACCGATAATGTCAGGTTTTAAGGTAAAGAAAGTTTGAGTGAAGATGTGTGACCGAGGTGCATAACAGGTGCTATAGGATACTGCGGGGCTATGTTGTGAGCAGCAGAGGGAATTACTGGAGGAACCCGATGAAGCTTTTTTTCACAGATGTCCAGTATCATCGGTTGTATTGTACTTCTGCGCTCCCCGTGTCTTCGCTCCACACCGTCATTAACCTGCAATGACCAGCGTGGTGAAGTATGGCGAAAATATCACCGCGACACGCACAGCGTGGGGATGGACTGCAGAGATATTCGATGTTCACATCGGATGCCAAAAAAAACAATAAAAACAAAAGACTACATTTTCTAAAAAATATATAATTTCTTTCAAAACTCTTGGGGAAATTAATTCATGAAAATGTTACTCCACAAACTCATTGCTCGGTGTCTGCACATTGTAGTTTACATGAAACGAAAATATATAAAAAAATACCTAACGTACATTTACTACTAAACGAGTCAATATATTTCACGTAAACATGACACCCACAAGGCACAGGTCAAAACGAACCCGCGACATTCATAATTCGCACTGCCGGACCATGCGGCCACACACAAGAGTTGTGTGTTTTAATGAGGGTAGCGTGTTTGTGGTGGTTATTTATTTGCGCGCGAGTAACGACTGCCAAGTTGGCTGCATCCCCGACTCGACAAAACAATTAGCATCACGTGACTACTTCTCATTGCCACCATCTTCTCATTTATTACCATGCCAACGTACGAACTGGTCCCATCACAATGAGAGGGAGGTGGTGGTGTGTGGGGGGAGCGGTGGCGCAAGTGGTTAGCACGCTGGGCTAGGGATACGTGGACCTCGGTCTAATTCCCGATCGCAACAACCCCCATGACTTGTATGTATACGTGCTTACGTTGAACTTCTTTCACTCCGTACATAACCCAAACTGTGCTCATCGGAGGCGCGTCGGACTTGACACAGGGTTGGGTGGGCCACCCCTAGGTCGACTCAGCCTCAACTGAGTACGTTGTGCTCAGTTGAGGTTGGATTTTTTAATCTAGATTGAAAACTAATTTATTTAGAGCTCTTCTTTGTGTGTTTAGTTTGTTGTCCTTCCCCCGCACCTCCGATTAGCACGGATGGCTGCGTACGGTGCGAAAGAAGTTCACGCAGTAAACATCGCCACTGGGGAGACAAAGGCGGCCGGGCGTGGTGCCGGTCACCCACCCCTTCGTGTGCCGTACCGGCCTTCATAAGTGCTCGTGAACAGCACTTGCCCCAACAGTTTGCTAAGGCTATACGGGGGATCTTTGTCTATGGGCGGTGGTGGTTTAGTTTCGTGCTCTGGACATTTGGTGAATTTCACGGACAATTAGCGCCGGATTAAAGAGCCGCTCGCGTTCTCCCCCATTAGCATCCTTTGAATAACTCTTCCCCGTCTAATATATTTACTCTCTCTCCTCCCTCTCTCTCTCTGCTTTATGAATGGAACTTAATGGATCCGCGGCCGCTATTGATACGGTCGCACCGGCAACTCGGCGCATCATTAAACCCCGGGTTTGGAAAGCGGCCCGGCTCCATCTCCACCTACCCCCACTCCATCTCCACCTACCCCCCCCCTCCATCCCCACCTACCCCCCCTCCATCTCCACCTACTCCCCACTCCATCTCCACCTACCCCCCCTCCATCTCCACCTACTCCCCCCTCCATCTCCACCTACTCCCCACTCCATCTCCACCTACCCCCCCTCCATCCCCACCTACCCCCACTCCATCTCCACCTACTCCCCCCTCCATCTACACCTACCCCCACTCCATCTCCACCTACCCCCCCTCCATCCCCACCTACCCCCCCCCTCCATCTCCACCTACTCCCCCCTCCATCTCCACCTACTCCCCACTCCATCTCCACCTACTCCCCACTCCATCCCCACCTACCCCCACTCCATCTCCACCTACCCCCCCTCCATCCCCACCTACCCCCCCCTCCATCTCCACCTACTCCCCCCTCCATCTCCACCTACTCCCCCCTCCATCTCCACCTACTCCCCACTCCATCCCCACCTACCCCCCCTCCATCTCCACCTACTCCCCACTCCATCCCCACCTACCCCACTCCATCTCCACCTACCCCCCCCTCCATCTCCACCTACTCCCCACTCCATCTCCACCTACTCCCCACTCCATCTCCACCTACCCCCCCTCCATCCCCACCTACTCCCCACTCCATCTCCACCTACCCCCCCCCTCCATCTCCACCTACCCCCCCCCTCCATCTCCACCTACTCCCCCCTCCATCTCCACCTACTCCCCACTCCATCTCCACCTACCCCCCCTCCATCCCCACCTACCCCCCTCCATCCCCACCTACCCCCCCTCCATCTCCACCTACCCCCCTCCATCCCCACCTACCCCCCCCCTCCATCCCCACCTACCCCCCTCCATCTCCACCTACCCCCCTCCATCCCCACCTACCCCCCCTCCATCCCCACCTACCCCACCTACCCCCCCTCCATCCCCACCTACCCCCCTCCATCTCCACCTACCCCCCTCCATCCCCACCTACCCCCCCCTCCATCCCCACCTACCCCCCCTCCATCTCCACCTACCCCCCTCCATCTCCACCTACCCCCCTCCATCCCCACCTACCCCCCCCCCTCCATCCCCACCTACCCCCCCTCCATCTCCACCTACCCCCCTCCATCCCCACCTACCCCCCCCTCCATCCCCACCTACCCCCCTCCATCTCCACCTACCCCCCTCCATCCCCACCTACCCCCCTCCATCCCCACCTACCCCCCCCTCCATCCCCACCTACCCCCCTCCATCTCCACCTACCCCCCTCCATCTCCACCTACCCCCCCCTCCATCCCCACCTACCCCCCCCCTCCATCCCCACCTACCCCCCCTCCATCTCCACCTACCCCCCCATCTCCACCTACCCCCCGTCCCTCCCCGCCTTGTTTTTACTCTTCTCCGAAGCCCGATTTGTTTGTGGCTATGCGACGCTCATCCTCTGCGGGAATGTTCACTGTCTCGCTGTCTCTCTCTGGCTCAAGGGCCAGGGGTCGCCAACCTGCGGCTCTGGAGCTGCATGCGGCTCATGAAGAACCGTTTAGTGACAGCTCTTTATTACGGACCAGCGTCTCTCGTATCCACCACAGTGCGTTGCGGCCCTTGAAATATCGAGTTGCTTTTGACCGAATTCGTAAGAAAAAAAAATCGCTCTTCTCGTTGTTTTGGTTGCCGATCTCTGCCTTAGGGTCAATGCCCCCCCCCCCCCGCTCCCTCCACTGCTGCCCCCCCCCCCCTCCGGTAATCGCTAACGCGCCACCGCCGCTAAAGCGTTCAGAGCGCGCAGCCGACGGCGCCCGCCGCCGGTTTAAATCCCTGACGCGGCGGGCCCCTCTCGAAGTTGCTGAGCGGTCGGCAAATCTGGGCTGCGCCTCTGGCGGCGATCGGCTTTCATGTTCACGGTAAAAAAAAAAAAACTTTGAAAAAAAACGTCGGGTTACGGTCAGGGTTGGGTGGATGGTAAGGGCTGGGGGGATGGTCAGGGTTGGGGGGATGGTCAGGGTTGGGTGGATGGTCAGGGTTGGGGTGATGGTCAGGGTTGAGGTGATGGTCAGGTTTGGGGTGATGGTTAGCACTGGGTGTGATGGTCAGACTGACCGCTTATCCTCCCACCCCACCCCCTGCTGCGTCGCCGTCCAGCTGAGAGGAACCCGCTGTCCCGTGGCCCATGGCCAGCCCCGCGTGGCCACTCCTGCTCCTCTCGGTGCAACTGAACTCGGAGCGAGGTCCTGCTGCTGCTACTGCTGCTGCTGCTACTGCTGCTGCTGCTACTGCTGCTACTGTTGCTGCTGCTACTGCTGCTGCTACTGCTGCTACTGCTGCTGCTGCTACTGCTGCTACTGTTGCTGCTGCTACTGCTGCTTCTGCTACTGCTGCTGCGCAAATACCGAGGCATTGGCGTTCGTTTCGGGTTCACAGCCCAAAGTGAGCCACTGGCAGGACATTGGACAACCCGCTTGTTGACTTTCTCCAACAACGTGGTGTTCGTTTTTATAGACCAGGGAGAGGCGCTAGGCCGAGTCACTTCCCCCAGACAGGATTTGAACTCGCAAACATTCCAGTTGCAATCCGCTTGCTCTACCGCCGGGTAGGGATCAAACACATGACCTCCTGCATACCAGGCGAGGTAGTTAACATCT